CCATCCCTCTAACATCACCATCTCTACCTCTATAACATCACCATCTCTACCTCCTGAGCATCGGGAGATCTCGAATTCGCCCTCTGGTCTTAAAACAGTTACCTGTCGGAGAAGCTGATCCCAAACTCACCCCCGTTAGTATTGATATGGCTAAATCAGGCAGTTGTAGAGACATCGAACACTCGCTACTACGAACGCGAGACCTTGTGTTAGCGCTTGACGGTGCGTGACACGAGTGTAAAAATAAATGCCGTTGAAGCTGGCCAGTATGCTCAGCTGAGAAAGAGACACACTGAAACTTAAACACTGGAGCAGCCTGAAAGAGGAATATGCAAAAAAAAACAACAACATAAAAAACAAAAACAAAACCCAAACAAACAAACAAAACAATTACCACTAAACAGTTTGTTAGGAGAATGAGTTTCGAATTGTTGCATGAAAATGTTTTATCTCTGCCCTCACTGATTCTTATCCTATGTTAATAATTGATATAATAAAATGATAATTATATAGATCTGCATCGAATTTCATTGCGTCCCTGAGCATCACTATCTCTACCTCTTTAGCACAATCATCTCTACCTTTTGAGCACCACAATCCCTACCTCTGTAACATCACTATTTCTACCTTTTGAGCATGACCATCTCTCTGTGCACACACGCTCACAAACACTCACAATAATTGCGCACACAAACATATAAACACCCAGAAACAAACACACAAACACACACACAGTAGCAGATACACAAAATTGTCTAAGGGGAAAGCGTGGTCACGCGGATTTCCAACACCATAAGTTTTGTAGTGTTAAAAAAAAAGAAACAAGAAAAGAAGCAAAAGAAAAACAAATTTTCGTTCGTAAAACAAGCCACCAAACTGCTTTCAGTTCCTTTATTCTTCAAAAATAAAGTTTTCTCACGGAAACAAACAGCAATAAATAATACTTTGAACAAAGCAAACACAAACGATAATAATAAATACATCATCATAGAATTCCAGATCGCATGGCAATGTATGCGGAAACCATTGTCAACTATTTACTTTTTTACCAACGCACTAAAAGGTACTAACAACATAGGGTACTACTAGTCATCTACCACAATAATATTATTGTCATAGCATACACATAATAAATATATTATTATGCAGAACGTCATCAATATCTTCTAGAACTCAAAAAGAAAATTAACTGTTTTACCCCGAAGAAAAAACAAACTACAACCTTATCCCCCCTAAAAAAACCCAAAGCGAGAAACTACTTTTAGAAATAAAAGATTACGTAAATATGCCACTTAAGTTAAGTTATACGAACCAATGACCTGAAAAGGTACCGTGGCCACTTTGAATAGTATTTTAAGCCCAAAAGATATTCGAAAGAAAAGCGCGTAAAATGAAGAAACATGTCTTCTGGCTCGTGCTTACTCTGCCTTCTCAATCGCAAACTTTATTGTGACAAATTAATGGAAAGGAATATTATGTGACCTTGGATCAATAGTGTTATAGTAAAATGTCCCTCAGTTGACAAGAAAACCCCGGAGTTTGTGACAAAATACAAGAACATCAACCCGACAATGTTGCCAAACGGAGGCGAGGGGAGTAGGATAAGCGCATCAATATTATTATGATTGAACAATTATTATTATTATTAACTTGAATGGAATTTTATGACATTTTGCGTGCAATCATCCTGATATTGAAATACATAATGCCCATTAAATATGGACTCGGCGAATGGTTCTGTGACCCCAAGCTGAAAACTTATCGTAACAATCGACATTTTTTTAAACTCAGAAAAGAAGTCTAAAAGTGCAGCCGAGAGAAGTAAGGTTGATTAACGAGGGCTTCATCGCATGAGATCTCTAGGGCGAAATAAATAGGTATTTGTTGGCTTCTAAACAGGATTTCATTTAGAAAAAAACATAAAAAACAATTACATTCGTACTGTAGGAAAAAAAAACACAACCAACCCCCCCCCCCCCAAGCAAACGGTGCATTCCAACCAAAATTATTTCACAGTTTAAAGAAAAAAAAAAGAATCATGCTGAATTCTGACCAGCCTAACATCTCTACATGTATTTAAATATCGTCAAGTAATATTAGTAATAATAACTAACAGCTGTTCCTGTTTTCGACCTATGTATTCTACATACACACTATTTTCAAAATTGTCACTTATCGTACGTGGGATCACAGAATTATAATAATAATAATAACAATAAATAATATTCCAATAAGTACACGTATAATGATATTGCAGTGTAATTATGGTATACCGTGCTATACAAAGCAATCAACTTAACAATGCGGGGAGTGAGTACGGTAGATTGTCGACGCATGGGTCAATTAGGATGATTATGGTTGTATCGTGATGCAGAAGGACGCATGTCGACGGCGAGCTGTTAAAATGTACCATGCCCAAACTTGTGAATTTAAAAAAAAAAAAGAAAAAAAAAAGAAAAAAAAAGAAAAAAAAAAAAGAAAAAAGAAGAAACTATTTCTTAACGTTAAATTACTTTTCAGCAGTTCCTGAAAACAGGTCTCTTTTACCGGGAGTTCATTCATTAGATAATAAATGATTACCGAATTAGGTTTGCTAGTTTTGAATTAATGACTAATTTAGTGATGTGTATGTCAATTTTAGATTTTGTACCAAGAGAGGGCCTCGACATGGTTGGTTTACCCACCTTACAGATAAAGAAAGAGTTAATCTGTGAGATCGCTTGCATATTATGCTCAAGAAATACTTTTCGAAATTCAAAATTTAAATGTTGAACAAATAAGGAAAAATACATAATTTAGGTACACATGTTCAGTGAGTGTTTCAGTATTTTTCTGTCTTGAGAATTTTTGCCTTTTGGGCTTAGTACATTGGAGGGTGCAGTGGCGGAGCGGTTAGTGCCCTTGTCTCCGAAGCGGAAAGTCCGGGTTCGAGCCTCGGTTCGAACAGTGATTCTTTTCGCCCTCTCCTGCCCACCCAGCAGTAATGTGTGCCTGACTTTGAGTTGGGGAAGTAAAGGCGGCGTGGAAAGGGACTGGCCACCCTACCACAATATGCCGAAGGCCCAGGAAGTTGTCTTACTAACAAGGCAATCCCCAATGTCCGGATCGAATGCGGGAACAACTTTACTTTATTATTATTATTATTATTATTATTTTTAGTAGTACAACGTGTTACATTGGACATGTACATTGTAACAGTTTGCCGACATATGTGTGAGCGCAAGGTGTGATAACGTTCGCTAAATTGGAAGGTGAGAGCTAATGTTTTATAATGATGTAATGATTCAACAGTTTATTTGCTTATAGAATCAGAACATGATCACCCGAGCTACAGTGTTTTCAGTTATCTTTCAAAAATCATTCTTCGGGTGGGAAAAGGGACACAACGCCTTGATATATATTATAAACAAAGAAACATTAGTGGAGGTACTGTTGGGGTGTTTTACAAAGGGAAAGAACGAAAAAAGAGCCAGTGTGAAAGTTAAGTTGAACGAAACATTGTGTGTGTTAGGAGGGAAGGGGGAAAGGGGCACGATCATGGTCGCCCGAGAGAGAGAGAGGTAGAGAGAGAGAGAG